ATAAAATTTTATAAATATAGTTTTTTATAAATATAAAAATAATAGAATAATGTTATTTATTTTATAATAATATTTTAAATAATAAGATGTGGAAATTGAGGAATATAAATCTATATATGCCCAGCTCCACCTGGATACTGAAATTTTGCCTTTTCTGCCTCCCTTCTTTTTATCCCCTCTTTGCATCTGCGGAGATGGGGAAAGTAAAATCCAGAAAAACATCCTGTTTTCCCTCCTTTTTGTGGCTGGACAGAGAGGAATCAGGCATCAGGAGGGGGATGCATCCCTGATTCCACAAGCATCCGGTCGCTGGGGTGGCTGTACCAGTTGCCACGGCACAATGGGAATTGCAGATGGCTTCTGCTTATTTACAGGGCTGGAGTCATGTCCGGGACAAGCAGACTCACAGCTGCTGCTGCTGGAAAAAGCCGAGCCTGTACTGGATTCCTGAGTTTTGGAGGCTGGGAGCAGGGCTGGGCAGGCTGGGCAGGGGGAGGATGCCAGGCTGTGAGTGCCATCCCGGCCGGAGCCGGCCGCGGGTATGGATCGGCGTCCTGCGCTCTCCAGGGATGACACAGTTGCACGTCCAGTCGATGTGGCTGACCCAAATACAGCACCCAGCGAGGCAGGCACAGCCTCCTGAGCCGGCTGCCAGGGCCACTCTCAGCCTCGTGGAGCTGATGGGCACGGCAGGACTCCTACGAGCAGCCTGGAGCATCCCGAGCCACGGGATGCTTGGCAGAAAATTCCGTCCTCCCACTCAACTTCCTTCCCAGAGGCAGCACAGGCAGAGAAAAGCCTTGCAGGAGCAAATTTGGCTTTGGCCAAAAGCCCTGCAGGAGCAACGCTGTGGCCAAAAGTCCTGGAGGAGCAAATTTGGCTTTGGCCAAAAGCCCTGGAGGAGCAATGCCACGGCCAAAAGCCCTGGAGGAGCAATGCCATGGCCAAAAGCCCTGGAGGAGCAAATTTGGCTTTGGCTAAAAGCCCTGGAGGAGCAATGCCGTGGCCAAAAGCCCTGGAGGAGCAATGCTATGGCCAAAAGGCCCTGGAGGAGCAAATTTGGCTTTGGCCAAAAGCCCTGGAGGAGCAATGCCATGGCCAAAAGCCCTGGAGGAGCAATGCTGTGGCCAAGGAACACTGGCAGGGATCCATTTGAGTCCCACCCGGATCAGTTATCCCAGGGAGTGTTTTTGGCTGCTGTGGGATAACAGGACCTACCTGTGGTCGGTGTTGGTGGTGCTGCAGTCTCAGTGTGAGGTGGCAGCAGCTGGAGCGTGCTGGGCACCTCCCTGTCCTGTGGGATAGCACAAGGGACATCAGGACACCCTGGCATGGATCACACCACCCAGCCCAGCTGTAGCCTACCGAAAAAAGCCCTGGACCCACATGGCTGGGGAAATCCATCCCAAGCCCACCTCCCCCTGCTCTCAGCAATTCCACTGCTCTTTATCCATTTTGGAGCAGCTGGGAGCTGCCAGAGGTTTTTGCACCCTGGGGGATTGGGGAACACGGGCAGGTGGCTCCACTGAGGATGAGGATGAGACCCCCAATTCCCTGCCCTCCTGTTTGAAGCCATGCAGGCAGCTGGAGGATTTCCTAGAAGATATTTCCCTCATGGATAGAGCAGGAAACCTGTCTTTGCCAAAAAAAGGTGGCAATTCACAGCCTCCCCCACTGAACAGCCTCTCCAGAAGATCCCAGGAGTTTTTCCTCACAGGATAACTTCTGGCAGCACTCAGACACCCACGGCACACCCTCCCCCTGCCCCACATCCCCTCACACTTCCATACCTGGCCGCTCAATCCCGGCGCTGCCGTGGGAGACGCACGCGGAGCCAGCCGGATGCTGATGGACAAGCAGGAAAATCAGGATTATTCCTGCTCCTTCTTCCCCTCCTTGCTCATTTTCTACGCCGGCTGCCCAATTATCTGCCAGGCCAGCTCTGCCCCGCGGTGCCTTTCTGCAGTGGAATGGAAGGAAGCCTGAAAAATCAGAGCTGCCTCCAACGGCACTGAGATGCCAAGGAAAACCACGGCAAGGACGAGTCTCTGGGCTCATCAGGATGGGGGAAAATGGGCTTTGGGCTAGTGTTGGCTGCTTCAAGGTGTCCTGGAGTGTGGTTCCAGCTTTTTTTGGGTAGTTTAGGCTTTGGGGAATGCCTGCCCTCCTGAATCCCTGCACAGCATCCTTCCCAGGCAGGGGGTGGTGCTGCTGGGTCAGAGCAGAGGTGACCTCGGAGTTCAAACCCCACGTTCACTCCTTGAAGAGCTTGGGTAGGCATGAAAATTGAAAAATAGGGGAAAGTAATCAGCTCCTGCCCCAAAAGCAGCATGTCAGCCTGGATTCAGCAAAAAAAAAAACAATGCAATGACTGCAAAGCAACAGCTTTGAAGCAAAAGTGCTACAGGGCGTTGTTATTTTCTTGGCATCAGCTCCAAAATATCCTCAGCCACAGACAAGAGAGCTCTCAGGGCAGGTTTTATCCCAGCTTTTATCATCCCCTGCCCTCCTCTTCCTCCCCCAGCATCCCTCTCCTGCAGGGATGTAGGTGCTGCCACGTTTCCTAAAGCATCTCAGCTGAAAAAAGCTGAAGTCTGTCCAAATTTATCTCAGTCTGACAGAACAGTGAATATTTGGTTATATAAAAACCCTATTTCTGACATTTTTGGAAGCAGCCCAGGAGCAGGCCTGCTCCTTTTCTTGGGTGTACCCCGAGAGGGGAACAGCACCTTCCTGCCTGGGACTTCTAGGTGGGAAAATGTTCCTCCAGGAGGAGCATCTTTAATCACAGACAGACTCTGGGCTGGAAGGCTCCTGTATCCTCACTTTTCCAGTCTGGTCCCTCAATCCCAGCCCCACATGGAGCACTGGGAGCAGATGTTTGCAGTTGTGGAGAACCTCAGCATGGTCCTTCCCTGACCCAGGGATGTGGGAATGGAATACCCCAAGGAGCACCAAACCCACAGAGCCAGAGAGGCATTTATGGCTGCAAACTCAATGAACAAAACAGACATCCCCTTTTTGAGGGTGCAGGAATTAAACTCACTTCAACAAGTGCCCTCATACCCACCCAGCTTCGGGATTCCATACACGGCACGGCCCCTCCAAAACACCAAACCTGGAGAGGGGCACCCAAAATGACTCTCTGGAGATGCTCCACAGCTGTGCCACCTGCCTGGGGACCAGCCTGGCTCCACCACTCATTCCCACTGCCATCCCATCATCCCGATCCCGTCACCTCGTGTTAGCTCTGGCGTTCCAGGCGTTCTCCATCTGCTCCGTCACACACAGCAGCTACAGCAGGGCTCCCCACCAGGCTGGGACATTTCAGGCTTCCCCCTCCCTCCCCTTCACCAGGGAAGGGGGACACAAACCATCCGAAGGTTGGTTGTTCCCGTTTCCCCAGAGCTGCCGCGGCTCCCGTTCCGCGCTGCGCTCACCTGTCCCGCAGGGATGAGCCGGGGCCGGGGGCAGGAGGGATGGGCAGGAGCAGCTGGGCACTTCCATCTGGTGACAGCCCCGCAGGTGCCACGCGGTGGCCGCAGAGCCCCGGAGCGAGGCGGGCGCCGCGTCCTGCGCCTGCTGCTCCAGCGCGTTCCCGCTGCCGTCCCTGCCATCTAGAGGGGACCTTTTCCCACTGCAAGCGCGTCCCTCAAATTGTAAATCCCACGATTCAGAAGGAAAAATCAGAGCCCAATAATCAGAGCCCATCGCTTGATAGTACAGGAAAAGCCTGCGTGGCTCACATCACGAATCCACACAGGATTCTCCTCCTTGTTTAGCCAGTTCCAGAACCAAGCAGTGGGAAACCCACGACAGGAAGCAATATTTTCTAGGAAATCTAGGAAAAATGTATCAAACCAGTCCAAGAAAGGTAAACGAGCAAAATAATCATCAAAACATGGCTGTGAATGCAAGGCACTAAAAGGGTGGCCCAAGGGGGGGTTTCTGCTTGTTGTCCATAAGGTGGATGGAGGTTTGGAGATCTGGACCAAGGGGTACTGCAGAGCAGCTGGATAAACTGGAGGGATGGGATGCAAAGAGGATGAAACCCAAAGATGGAGTGTTTAGGTGCAAACTTGCTTTGGTAAGATGAGGTTTGGGTGAGAAAATATCCCAGCCTGGCACTGGAGGGCCCAGCCGCTCGTGGGCTGTGTGGTTTGGGAGGAAAGCAGCTGCAGTCACCCCCTGAGGGACAGGAGCTCTGACAGACTGGCCATCCCATGGAATGGAATCACACAGGGGTTTGGGTTGGAAGGCACATCAAAGCCCAATTTTTTGGGATTTTTCCAATCCCCTGCCATGGGCAGGGACACCTTCCACTGCCCCAGGCTGCTCCAAGCCCCATCCAGCCTGGCCTTGGGCACTGCCAGGGATCCAGGGGCAGCCACAGCTGCTCTGGGAATTCCATCCCAGCCCCTCCCCACCCTCCCAGCGAGGAATTCCTTCCCAATCTCCTATCCATCCCTGCCCTCTGGCACTGGGAGCCATTCCCTGTGTCCTGTCCCTCCATGCCTTGTCCCCAGTCCCTCTCCAGCTCTCCTGGAGCCCCTTCAGGCCCTGGAATGGCTCTGAGATCTCCCTGGAGCCTTCTCCTCTCCAGGTGAACATTCCCAGCTCTCCCAGCTTGTCCCCACGGTTTTCACAGTGTGAGAAACCAACCCAAGGACATTCAGGATATGTCCTGCTGGAGGGACCGAAGGGCTTGGAAGTTTCATGAAAACATCAATGTTAAAGCTGAAGAAAACTTGGGAAATGAAGTGCAAAGCTCTCTAGGTGTCAGAACAGAGACCTGTACAAGCAACAGTTACTGGATGCAGAGGATTCCCCCCAGGAAAAGGGATTTATTGCTGCCTTCAAGCCCAACAGCTTCTGTACAGCCTTCCAGAAGGGCTCAGCCCTTTGGCAGCTCCCAAAAAACCCAGAGGTACAAACCTGGGGGAGGCACGTGCTGAGCATGCAGTGAACAGAAGCACAAGCATGACCAGGTTTCCTTTTCTTTCCTTTTAATATAAACATCCTAGGGTGAGTTGGGGGTAGGAGCAGCCTAAAGGGAATGTCTTGTGGAATAAAACGCTGCGACGTGCTTCGGGAATGATGTGCAAAATTGAAACGCCCAAGCAGGGCCAGCTCAGGACTTCCTGGATTCTTCGGTCTTCTTGATTTCCTGCAAGGAGATCAGGGGAGAGACTGAGAATCTGCCACTCTTTGGGAAACAGCTCTTGGTTTCACAGTGTGGGACACCAGGAGTGACCAACAACTCAGATCAGGACCAAGCCCTGAGCTCACCTTTAGGGACAAGGCAAGGTTTGACTCAGAAGCTCCAGAAAGAGGAATCCCCTTCTCTGCTATACAGAGATGAAAGTCTATTTTATCCCAACTCAGGATTGTGTTGGATTCATTTCCCACCCTCAGGCCACTGATCCATCATCACTTGTACTCAATCTGTCCCTCAGCAGCTCAAAGCAGACCGAGTGTGGGATGAGGTGACATTTCTGTGGCTGCCTGAGAACAGACCCTCACCCATCTGGCCCAGGAATGAGGTGGGGCTCAAAAATCCCCAAGGACTCACCTCCAGCAGCAGCTCCTTCAATTCAGAATAGGCCTTTTCTAAATCATCATTGATGATGACCAGGTCAAACAGCCCAGGCTCTTTACCTGGGGAAGGAGATGAGGACAGAGTTAGAGGACAATTTTTCTTCCCTGTGCCAGCTCTCATGCATGAAGTCCCATGGCATTTTAGTAATATTTTTTAGTACTATTATTAGATCAGCTGCTGCTAATGAACTGCTCTGCCAACCTCCCCCAAGGAACTGCAGTGGGAAATGCAGCAGTGATCCAACTCAGCTCATGGCAAGCCCTGCCAGCGCTGCTGGAGAGCACAAATCAGATGTTGCCACCAGAACCAGCTCCCAAATCAGCCAGGCATCCCCCTCCCTGCACACACCACTCCCAGGACTCACTGAGCTCCAGGTCCACGCGGGCTGCAGTCAAACGCTTCTGTAAACTCTCCTCTGTCTCAGTCTTTCGGTCCCGTAGTCGTTTCTCCTAAACCCAGGCACAGAGACATGAAGGAAATGAGTGCTCTGAAAGCTGCAGGCACGATCCACCCCCACCCTCAGGCTGGTGCTGTCTGTGACCACGGGCACGTGAGAACACCCTGCAAAGGGTGAGGGGCCTCGCTTACAGCCCAGTGCAAACCAGCGGCCAAACTGGGCTTGAGATCTCCTACCCACAGTTCAGGGTCCCAGGTTTCTTTTACCTCCCTCTCATTTATTTATTTTTCCAGGTAGTGCTGGAAATGAGATCTCTGCTGGGCTCTGGCATCTGGTGCTGCTGGCTTCCTCCTCCACAAACTCAACGAGAAACAGAGCCTGCCTGATGTACTGAGAGCAAGAGGGGAGAGTCAGGAGTTGTCCTCGTGTGTCCTCATCCCTCTCTGAACCACGACAGTGATTCCACTGCTTGCAAGAGTCCCACTGCAATCACTTACATAGGGTAAGACCAGAGGGGCACAGAATTTAAGGTGCTGCACAGAACCAGCCTCCCTGGGTTTAATTTTAACCGTGGAGGCAAATCTCAGCGCAGCATGAAGCACAATTAATGCATTTAAACACTGGTGGAGTCCATAACCAAGGCGTGAAAAACATTGAGGAAGGACTCAAAAAACAAAACACAGGAAGATTTATCCCTGAGAGCCAGCGGCTGGGGAGCTGGGCTGGGTGGAGCTATGCCTGGGAATGTGCTCCCCACCTAGAGCAGGGCCCTGCTGAGGGAAGGGGGAGCCGTGGCTGCTGATTACCTCTAACTGCCCACGGCAAAGCAAGGCGGGCGCTCACCAGGATCTCGATGGACGGCGGCTGCACCGAGATGTAGATGGGGTTCAGCTCCGTCCTCTTGATGTTCTTCACGCCCTGGATGTCGATGTCGAGGACACAGATCTGGTTCTGGGCCTGCACGGCCTGCACAGCTCCTTTACTGGGGACACAGCACACAGGGAAGGAAGGGGTCAGAGCCCAGCGGGGTTGGGGTGTCCCCTCCAGCAGCGGGGGAACCTCACAGGGCTCCCCAGACTGTGCAGGAGAGGACAGAGCCCGCCCTGCTCTTGATAGAGTTTCTCCAAGTGTCACTGCTCTGGGTGCAGCAGGGAGCTGCTGTCCCCTGCTAGAGAGGCTGGCAAAGCCATGCTGGAAGGTGTGGGGATGGATCATGTGAATATCCCACAGGATGGGTGGGATGTCCATGAACTCCTGCCTTGGCAGAGCTTCACCACCTGGAGGGAAGTTCCCTGCTCATGGCAGGAGGTTGGAACTCAATCTTAAAGGTCCCTTCCAACCCAAACCATCCTGGGATTTTAGGACAAACATGGAAACCACCTTCACCAAAGTGCAAAACCACTGAGAACTCCCCTTCTCCAGAGATCCACTGAGTCCACATGCTCTCCTGAAGGATGCTGGATGGACATGGATGCTCCATCTGGGTCACAAGATGCACTTAATTCTCCACTTAATTTTTTCAAGTGGTGGCTTTTGTATGCTGTAGAGACAACTTCTCTTCCTCAATATGGGGAATTGCCTCAAGATTATTATAATAATCATTTATTATAATTCACTGATGACTTAGGGAGCAGAAAGGATTGGTGAGAACTCCAACTCTTCTGCTAAGCATGAGGGACTCTGCATTTATCCCACATCTGGGCAGGAACATCCTCAGGGGCTTGAAGTGATTCTGTATTTATTTTCTGGCATCCCAGAATAGTCTGCATTGGGAAGGATCTTCAAGACCATCTAATTCCAGCTCCTGTGGCACAGGCAGGGACACCTGACCTACCTTGTCCCGTACATGTTCCCGGAGAACTCCGCGTGCTCAATAAATTCACCAGCATCAATTTCTTTCTGCATTTCCTCTCTGGACACAAAGTGATAATCTGGAGAAGGGAAAATGGGAAAAATGGGCAGAAATTAACATTCTGAAGGTAAAGTTCATGGTCAAAATGACACCCATGGGTTTTTTGGGGGAGAAGACACTAAAAATCTGGTTTAGACAAGGATTCACTTCCTACTTCCACACCAGTTGTCCAAACACCAGCTCAAAACTTTCTGGAGTTTTCTGTGTGGCCAAAAATGCTGCTCTACCCCATTTTTCATATCCTTTCCCATTCCTGGTGCAGAGGGAACATCTCCCCACTTGCCTACAGGTGTGGGACACATTACAGCAGGAATGGTAAAGCCTTTCATTTGAAAGGATTTTTAATTAAAGACCAGAATGGGATGAGAGAGAGGGAGATAAAAGGGAACATCAAAATCAAACTAAAAATTATTTCTCTATCTTCTGTTGAAATTCCTTCCTGTTACTTCAGAAGGAAAACTGCCATTGGAAATCAAGAACAAACCTCACTTGGTTGTTTCTTAAATAAGCAAATACATGAGAAAACAGCTGGGCAAAATCAATTAATACAGCTAAAACCATCTCATTAAGCAGCTGCACTTCCCAAAGCTGTGGCCATTGGAGATCTCCTCAGAACTACCTGGAATTTTGGAAAATCAAATCACCCAAGTTCAGGGCACAGCACCTAAAATGAGAGCCCAGCTTTGAAAACCTTAGTTATTTGGAGAGTCCAATGAGACAGACCTGACTGCAACAGGCTCACCTTTGCCATTCACTTCTCCAGGTCTCGGCTGCCTTGTGGTATCTGCAGGGAAAAAAAGGGAAAAAAAAAGAAAAAACAGCCTTGTAAATTCTGTACATCACCCACAGGTGTTGCAGGATCAAAGAAATTCCAAGGTCTAAGTGGCACATGGATCTCTAGGAAAAAAATCTCTACTAAGAGCCAATTTGGGAGGAAATGAGGTTTAGTTTGGAGTGAGATGAGAGATGCAGTTGAATAAGGAACAATAGGATGTCACACACACACACAAAATGGATAATTGTTTTTTTCTCCTCCCATAGCATTAGATTTTTAAACATCCAGTATTTTGTTCTTTCATGGTGGAATGAATCCAGACCTCAAAGCACAGATTTCACTTGCAATACACAAAGTGTTGGGACATTAAAACACGTTTTGGAAATGGACCTAAAAACACCTTACAAAGCTCCATGGAAAAAATCAAATGGCTTCTGAAGCAGAAATGTGGGGGGATTTTGTTACTTTCACAATCAAGAACCACTGAGAAGAATCTTGTTTCCTCTCTGAGTTGTGTTTAGAGATGAGGGGAGTCACTAAACCTGGAAAGGTGCTACTCCAGACAAAGCTTAGACTCACCACTCAACACCAGGAGTAAAAGGTGCCCTGAATTAAACACCCCCAAGAGCCCACAGGCAGACTGGGACACAGGCAAACCATGAAAAGCCATTATTTGGGGAATAAATAGAGGGAGGCTCTGAGCTGGCACTGCTGAGCTCCTCAGCCCAGCCCTGGATACTCACGGGAGACGCTGAAGCCGAAGATGTTCTCATAATCTTTGAGCAATTTCTTTAACAAAGTGCTTTTCCCTGCACCTGATGGGCCACTCAGAACCACTGGCCTTGGTCCCTGCATGACTGGGGAGAGACAGAAAAATGTGTCTGGTGAGAAACACCCATGGAAACGCAGCTGTGGAATCCCAGGAGTGCTCAGCCCCTCAAAACAGCACCAATCCTTTACCCTTGGGCACAAATGTCTGCAGGAAAATCTGAAATGATGCCAAATCACAAGCCTAGAGCTGATAAAAAGCACTGGGAGTGCAGAAACATTTCTCAAGAGACTGAGGTTAAACTCATAGGATGTAACCCAAAGGAGGAGGAAACTGGGATGGCTGAAGCCAGCTGTTTTCCATCACAGCTGGGTCTCACTGGGACCAAAATCCCAAGGAAAACTCTCTCTAAAAGGAACAAAATCCTATTTGTGCCTGGTGGCATTTGGAATCATGGGACAGAGGAACAGTCCCAGCCCATTCCCTCTCACAGGGGGAAAGGAGCTTCAAGGAGAGTTTGCAGGTAAAACTTTGCATCACCAACCCCCAAACCCTTGCAACAGCATCTGAACTCGGGTGCAATCACTGCCAGGAACATGCCCAGGTGTTCATTCCCACATTTCCTGAAGCACCAACTCCATCTGCAGGTGTTTCATGGCAAGAGAGAGAGAGATCCAGAGATCAGTTCCTGATACAGGTGAAAAAAAGGCAGCCTGGGGCCACACAACTTGCTGCAGTTGTTTCTTCAGCCAGAAAGGAAAAAAAAAAAAATTTAAAAGAAAGAAAGAAAAAAAAAAGGAAAAAAAATGGTGTCATGTTCCTGTGCCTCTGGAGAGAAGAAAGGTTAAATATCCACATGGGAAAAAGAAGAAATGCTGTGTAAAAGTGTGGGGCTACCACGGGAACCCTCATCCATCAGCAACTTCCAAACCAGAAGCGATGGTGAGAGTGAAACAAATCAAACAAGTTCTTCCTATTTAGAAAGTTACTTTCAGCAAGCAATGAAATCATTTCCTCAGTCTCCCGGGCTGGGTGTGGCCTGGGAGCCACCGGCCAAGAGGCAGCTAATGCCTTTCCATTTTAAATCGGCTCACGGCAATGTCACCCCGACCTTCCACATCACTTTTCAAACAGCCCTAAGCCAAACGCTGGCTAATCCCGCCGGGCTGCCTCTCCCTGACCCCGCCTGCGGGAGCGGGACCCGTCCTCGGCCCCCAATCCCTCCTCCCTCGGGCACACAATTGACAGCCCGACAATTCCACAACTTCTCCCTCCGCTCGCCGAGGATCCTCGTGTGACCGCGGCTCATCCCGGGCTGCGCCAAGGGACGGGTTTAACGCACAGGCCGAGGAGGTGCCAACAGCGTGGGCGGTGAAAACACCCACGGTCCATAATCATCCCTAAGGAAATTCCTTTATTCCTTTTTTTTGTTCTTTTTTGCTTAGTGCCCTCCGAAGTGCTGCAGCCTTAGAGATCCAAGAGATGAAATCTTGGGAGGACCAATCTCATCACCACAGTGCCACATTAGGCTCCAGCATCCCAAAACCAGAAGGCTGAACAAACTCGGAAGTCCTCTGGGGGCTTTCCTACCATTCCCTTGGTCCTCAAACTTCTGTAATTTCCAAAAAAAAATCAGGTTTTGCCCAAATGTTCAACACCAGAAGAAAGCACCAGGGAAATGCTACTCAGTGCTTGCAGCAAGGGAGCAGAGAAGTCACTCAAAGCATTTCCTTCTCTCTGTCCCTCACAGTTCTTCTCTCCCACATAATTCCATCAGGTGAGCTCTAAGCATTCCTTGGAAAACGCTCCACACAAATTCCCCACCCTTCAGACATCCCAATGTGTTTCACAACACATCTGCCCCCAAACAATGCTGCTCCATCACACACCAGCTTCCACAAGCACCCCAAAAACCCCACAAGTGACACTGGGGTGCCAGCATGGATTTCCAGGTGTTCCAGGCTCCCTTCCAGGACCCAGCTGTGCCAACAAGAACCGTGCTGGATGCACAAATCCCAGTCCCAGATCCCAGCCAGAAGGAAAACAGCTTTCCTCTCATCTCCCTCAAAATTTCATCTGCCCCTAGCAAAGACCAGCAGAAATTTAAAGCTGCCCAAATCACTTCCAATCATTCCATTCAACCCCAGACAAACTGGGAAGGGGGCAGAGGAACGGGCTGGGAGCAGCCTCCAACACATCCTTACCTCTTCCTCGTGCTCCCTTCCAGCCAAGGAAAGCAGTGGCAGCAGCACAGGCTCCTGGGGACAGAGCTGGGCTATTTGTGAGCTCCTAAAGCCTTAATTAACAAGCTGCAATTTGAAGGTGGCCAATGAGAACAACCCTGCTGAGCTTTAATCTCCCCCTGGTTCCTCCTCCACTCCCTGCTCTCCTGGCTGGCAAAGCTGCAGCCCCAAAAGGCTGAGGGGTGCCAGCCCTTGCTGGGCTGGGATTATGGAAAACAGCAAAGCTGCTTCTGTCCCTGCAGTCACGAGGATTTTGTCTGTGTAGGATCCTGGAATGGTTTGGAAGGGACCTTCCAGAACATCTAACTGCACACCCCTGCCATGGGCAAGGACAATTTCCACTAGGCCAGGCTGCTCCAAGCTCCATCCAACCCAGAACACTTCCAGGCACTTTCCTTTGGACCAAATCCACACAGCTTCACGACCACAAAGACAACAGGAAAACTCCTTCTCCTGCTCACAGATCAAACCACTCCCACAGTGGGACCCTTTTCCTTCCCCAAAATACTCACGACTAAGAGAAAAGACACCTGGGCTGTGATCACGCCTCACTTCTTTCAAAACAGCTAAAAATAAACCTGAAGACTTGCAGGTGTTTCCTGCTGCCTCCCTGGTGAATCCCTTCTCTCGCTGCAGCTCTGCAGGGGAAAACTGAGAGGGAACAAAAGGCATTTCCACTCCCATGGAATCCCACCCTGGGGCTGGGGCCTCACAGGAGCAAAGATGGCAAACTGGGAATTCCACAGAATTCCAGAATGGTTTGGTTGGAAGTGACCTTAAAGCTCATCTTGTTCCACCCCTCCCACTGTCCCAGGTGCTCCAAGCCCTGTCCAGCCTGGCCTGGGACACTGCCTGGGCTGCAAAAAGACTGAGGTGGTCACAGCAGGTTGTCCCCAAGGCAAGGAATGGTTCCTGCTCTGCTTGTGCTGCTAAATTCACCTGGATTTTACCTCACAGGTGGCAACACAACCAGGGAAGCAAAGGACAGACATCACAAGAGTTAAATTAAAACTGATTAGCAGAGAGGCTTTGCAGGGAAGGCAAAGCCACCTTATGTAGAAGAAAAGAAGATTAAAGCACGGTTTCCCTGGAGCCTTGAGAAAGGTCTCCTGGATTAGGATTATAATCCCACCCCTATTTTTAGCAAGGTTGTTATAAAGGTGCTACCCCCACCTTTGTAAGATTTGGGACAGGTTCCAAGAAGGGAGAGACAGATAATTCCCTGCTGTGACAGACAAGGAATTATCTGCAGGGAGGTGCCAACCTTCCCGTGATTCCATGAGGAGCAGAGCATCCCACAGCAGCACAGAGCTGGAGCTCAGCCACCTTTTTCCTGGAAATAATTACCTACAAAGCACTAATTAGCCTCTCCACTGGCTGCAGCCCTGGCTTGCAGGGAGTGGTGATGCTGCAGACAGAACACAAACCCCTTGCTCCAGGTCACTGCAGAAATCAGGGAGGTCCAAGCCCATTATTCCCAGACCATGTCCTCCTGTAAACCAGGGCAGCTGAACCCACCAGGAGGATAAAACCAGTTTACCCACCTGGGAAAACCTCTAGAGGTGAAGCTCACACAGCTGTGGTTTTACCATCCACTTCCCCACACGTGTTTGTTTCAGGATTCCTGAGGGATGCTTATCCCTAAAGCCCTCTTACCTCACCCTGCCCCACGGACTCCACAAGCACATCCCTGTCTGGTTGATCCAACCAGGGACACCTCAGAGCCACCCTGGAGCAGCTCAGCCATGGGGACCCGGTGTGGATGTCGGGAAGGGCACAGAGCCAGCCCGGGGACAGTCCCGTGGGGCTGTGACACCTCAGAGCCACCCTGGAGCAGCCATGGGGACCCGGTGTGGATGTTGGGAAGGGCACAGAGCCAGCCCGGGGGCAGCCCCGTGGGGCTGTGACCTGTCCCACCCCCTCAGCCATCCCACATGGATAACACGGATCAGGGGGAGCTCAGCCTCCCTGGGGTGTGGGGGATCAGCACCCCCAGGTCGGTACCCTGGCATCCCCAGCTGAGAGACTGAGGACCCCCATGGGGCACTCAGCAGCTTGGGACCCCTCAGAGGGGCTGAGGGCAATCAGTCCAGGACCCTGTGAGCAGCTGAGCATCCTGGGGCCGGCTGGGCACCCTCAGCCCAAGGCCCTCATGAGGGGCTGAGCACCCCCAGGCCAGCCAGGATTGCTCCATGCAGAGCCCCCAGGAGGGGCTGAGCACCCCCAGGCCAGCCAGGATTGCTCCATGCAGAGCCCTCTCTTCACCCCCAGGCCAGCCAGGACTCCTCCATGCAGAGCCCTCTCTTCACCCCAAGGCCAGCCAGGATTGCTCCATGCAGAGCCCCTCTTCACCCCAAGGCCAGCGAGGATTCCTCCATGCAGAGCCCGCAGGAGGGGCTAAGCACCTCCAGGCCAGCCAGGACTCCTCCATGCAGAGCCCCCAGGAGGTGCTGAGCACCCCAGGACCCCTCAGGGGAGGAGCCCCGTGAGGAGCTCGGCACCCCAGGGCAGGTTGGGCCCCCTCAAGCCAAGGGCCCTTGTGAGGGGCTGAGAACCCCAGAGCCGGCCAGGACTCCTCACTCCAAGCCCCCGTGAGGGGCTGAACGCCCCGAGGCCACTCAGCCGAGGACTCCTGGCAGTGACGGAGCTCCTCGGGCTGGTTAGACCCCCTCTGTCCACGGCCCCTGTGAAGGTCTCGGCGCCCCGTGGCCGGCCGTGCCCCTCAGCCTGCGGTCCCCGTGAGGATGCGAGCCCCGGCCCCATCCCCGCTCACCCGCCCGGGCGATCCCCGCCCCGCGCATCCGCCCGAGGATCATGAGGGGATTGGGGGGGGGCGGTCCCGGCAGCCCCCGCGCGCGCCCGCCGCCACCGCCGCGCGCCTGACGTCACCGCGGGGGCGGGGCCCAGGGGGGAGGTTGGGGGGGGGAAGGCGTGATGGGATTGAACCATGACGGGGAGAGGGGGGAGTTATCATGGAAGTGACCCATGGCTGGGCAGGGGGAGACGTGGTTGGGCTAAACCGTGGCGGGAGTGGGGGGAACCATAGTGGGGCTGAACCATGGTTGGAGAGAGGCGGGAGGGCTGAACCAAGGTGGGTGTGGGGGGAGGCATGATGGGATTGAACCGTGGTGGGCTGAACCATGACGGGGAGAGGGGGGAGCTAGCATAGAGCTGACCCATGGCTGGAAGGGGGAGACGTAATTGGGCTAAACCATTGCGGGAATGGGGGGAACCATAGTGAGGCTGAACCATTGCGGGGGCGGGGGAGACGTGGAGCTGAACCATTGCCGGGGCGGGGGGAGCCATACCATGGCGGGAGCTGTCATGGGGCTGCTCCGTGCTGAGGAGGGGACGTGGGAGCCTCACAGTGATGGCGACACGGCGCTGTCACCCCACAGCCACCCCAGGCCCTTTCCTTGTCGCCAGGGTGGCCCCAGGCTGTGTCACCTACTCCGTGCGTCCCCCCCCGGCGGGCTGCGATGGCGGCGAGCCGGGCTCTGAGGTGAGCGCGGGCTGCCCGTGACCCGCGGGGCAGCGTTGGCTCTCCCGCTGAGGGAGCGGCCTGCCGGAGCTCCCTCACGGTGACACCGCCTCTCTCTCCCACCTTCCCCCGGCAGTGCCCTGCTCCTCCGGGCCGCCGCCCGGCCGCCGCTCGCTGCCTGCGCCCGCAGCAACTCCAACCGCGCCGCCATCGGGCACCTGCAGCGGCAGCGCTACGGGCGGCTCTACCCGCTGCTGCTCGTCGGCACCGACGGCTCCACCGTCCGCCTGCGCTACGGCGAGCCCAAGAGGATCCTCATGGTACGGGGACAGCGACAGGCTGGCAGCGTGGCTGTCACAAGGGGGCTCGCACCCTGTCCCGCGGTCTGGGAGCTCGCAGCGTGTCCCTGGGATCGCAGCCTGTGGGCTGGGGGTGTCGCAGCATGTCCCTGGGAGCTCACACCGTGTCCCTAGGAGCTTATACCATGTCACTGAGATCTCATCCTGTGTCCTGGGGGTGTCACAACCTGTCCCTGGGAGCTCACCCCATGTCCCAGAGGTTTCCTGCCTGGTCCCAGAGCTCCACACCGTGTTCTGGGAGCTCACACCGTGTCCCTAGGAGCTTATGCCATGTCCCTGGGATCTCGCCCTGTGTCCTGGGGGTGTCACACCACGTCCTGGGAGCTCATGCTTGTCTCTCGGGAATGTCACACTATGTCCCAGGGGTTTCATGCCGTGTCCTACGAGTGTCACACCGTGTCCCCGCGGTCTCATCCCGTGTCCCCCGTGTCCCCAGATGCCCCTGGACAGCAACACGCTGCCCGAAGCCGAGCGCAAGGCTCGTCTGCGCCGCCACTTCCCCAGCAAGCCTAAGGCCAAGGAGGAGGAAACCTTCGAGGGCATCGACCTGGACACCTACAAGAAGTTCTGGAAGAAGTGAAGCGCTGAAACCACAAGTGTTTCGACGTATAAATAAACGTATAAATAAAAACATACATAAGTACAGCCGTGTGTGGGCGGTGCGGCTCTGCGGGGCTCCCCCCCGCGCTCGGCGGCGCGGTGGTACCGCCCGTCTCTCCCCCCTCCGGCGGTGCCCGCGGTGGTAGCGGCGGGGCGGGCGCGCGCTCGGCGGCCGGAGGTGCGTGAGGGGAGCGGGGGCGGCTTCGGGATTTGGGGATTTTGGGGCTCCGGCCCGCCCGGTTCTTGCATTTCCCAACTCGGAGGGGCCCGGGCTACTTTTACACGCCTCGGGGACGGGCAAATTCCAACCTCAGGCCCTGCAGCTTTCCCCGGCCCTGAACCCCTTCCCAGACCTGAAACTCTCCCCCAGGTAATGCCCGACCCCGGGCCCTGCAGCCTCTTCTGGGCTCCACAGTCTCCCTGCCCAGCCCGCGCGCAGGCCATGATCCCTTCTTGCAGCTCATCCCATCCAGGCTGTGAACCCCCTCCTGGACCCTCCATGAACCCTCCCCTTGAAGCCCAGAACCCCCGTGCGGGCTTTAAACCCTTCCATCAACCCCTGCAATCTCCTCGCAGACCCAGAGCCTTCCCACTTCTAGTCCTGAACTCTCCCCCCACAGGCTGTGAGTCCCTCTTGCTCTGCAGCCCCTTCCCAGACCCTGAAAGCCCCAAGCTGTGACTGCCCCACTGCTGACCCCAAACCCTGCTTGAGGCTCTGGACCTCCCCCAATCTCTGAACCCCCCAAGGCTGTGAACCCCCTGTCCTAACCCCCCCTCCTCACCCGGCAGCCTCCCCCCAGGCTGGGACCCCCTCCCACCTCTGGGTTACAAACCCCCCTTCCAGCCTGTACCACCCCCACAAAGGCCTTTGCTTACTCCACTCACCCCTGGGGGGGCCAAACTTGTTTCCCTGCGGCTTCAGGAGCCCCCCCAGAGCTGGGGGAGGATCCGGAGTGGGTAGACCCAGGGCCAATCTCTTTGCAGGTCACCAGAAGCCCCCGAATCCGCTGTGGGGTGCGGCGCCATGTTCGGCTCCTCCCGGGGCGGGGTCCGGGGGGGCCAGGACCAGTTCAGCTGGGAGGATGTCAAGACAGACAAACAGCGTGAGAATTACCTGGGTAAGGGCTGATCCTGCTCCAATCCCACCCTCCCCGTCCTGTCTTCCACGGTTTTGGGGTGTGATGATGTTGAGGGGGGGTGGTCACTGTTCCCCACAGGGAACTCCCTGATGGCGCCGGTGGGGCGGTGGCAGAAGGGCAAGGACCTGACCTGGTATGCCAAGGGCAAGAAGGACACGGGCCCCCCGTTATCCCGGGAAGAAGAGCTGGCTGCAGTCCGCCTGGCCGAGCAGGAGGCCATGATGGCAGCACTGTGAGTCCCCACCCCACAAAAACCCCAAAAACCAGCAGGTGCGTGTCCACACGCGGATCACCTGCTCTTGTTTTTACAGGGGCTACAAGAGCTTGAAGAGGCAGCCCACGGGCCTCAGCAAAGAGGTAACAGGGGCACCACACGTCCCCGCAGTGTCCCCTGGGCTCTGATTTTGGGGACACACACAGGACACTGTCCCCCCTCCCCACAGGACCTGGCTGAAGTGTGCAAGAGGGACGGCGGCGAGCGGGACGAGAAGGACGTGGATCGGCTGGTGGGTTTGGGCAGCTCCAGGTAAGGAGAGGGAAGGATCCCACACCAATTTCAGAACAGTTTGTTTGATTTTAGTGGTTTTATGATTTTTTTCCTGTGGTCTCTCTGCAGTGGCAGTGCTGGCAGGTTGATGCTCTCCAAGGAGGACAGAGAGGCGGCCAAGATGGGGCTCTCGGTCTTCACGGTACGGTGCCAGCCACGCTGTCCTTGGAAGGTTCAAAAATAGATGGAAAAAGGCAAAAAGCAGTGCCCCTCACTTGGAATATTTTATCTAAAAAAACATCTGGGTATTGTAGCACAGAGACTGCAGGAGTTTCCTGTGTCCTGTTGGCACAGAGGTTGTTTGTGAGGCTTTAATTTGGAAGCAGCTGTTAAGGGTATTCTAATTTCCCCCCAGAAGTTAATTTAACTTTTTTTTCTAAGTTTAATTTTTAAAGGGAGAAAAACCCTTTGTTTTGTAATTACAAGCTCATGGATTCACTCTGTATTTTTCCCCCTCTCCAACCCTAGCACCAGAAAGTCTCCAGCAGCCCAGAGACATCTGTCTGCAAGAAGAAGCAGGAAAAGGAGGAGAAGGTGGAAGAGAAACGGTGAGGATTTTCCCCACTTTGGTGGGAGACCACCAGAAACACCCTGGCTTTTATGGGAGATATTTTACAAAATGTTTCCACGGCTCTGTTTGTCACTGGGCTTGTTTTGCATCTCTGAATCATCCCCAAAAGCCTCCGTGGGCTTCTCTTTGGCAAAGGAGGGATGTGGTGGGATGTGCCTGGAAAAAGGGATGGGGATGAGGGATGCACAGTGCAGGGATTCTCATTGCTTGATCTCTTCCCTGCAGACCTGAGAGCAGCAAAAAATCCAAAAAGGAGAAGAAGAAGGAGAAAAAGAACAAGAAAAAGAAGAAACATAAGAAGGAGAAGAAGAAGGACAAGGAGAAGCATTCCAAGAAGGATGCTGCCCCATCATCCTCCGATTCTTCCCCAGATCGGGATAAGAGGTAGCTGGGTTGGGATGGGGCATCGGCAGTGCAAAACGGGAGGAAGGATGCCCATTGGCATCTCCTGGCTTTCCAAAAGGGCTGCTGGAAACCCCCAGAATCGCCCTGTTGGCTTCCCCCCCATCGCCGCTGTCACTTCCCCGCTGTCCCCGCAGGCAGCAGCGCAGGAAAGCGCAGCAGCGCTCGGAGGCGCCGCGGCACGGCAGCCGGCGGCGGCGCGACGCGGAATCCTCGGCGAGCAGCGGCAGCTGCGGCCGGAGCCCCGCGGGCCGGCGCAGCCGGAGCCGGGACGGCCGGGGCCGCCACCCGTCCCCGCGGAGGAAGGGCAGGAAGAGGAGCCGGTCCCGCTCCCCGCCGGCCCGCGGGGTCCGGCAGCGCCACGACACCGACTCGGAGGACTGAGAGGGAGCCTGGGGTTGTTTCAGGGACATCTTGCGGAGATTTCTATTTTTTAAGTGATTAAATTAAAAAGGCCGCAGCCCCGCGGGTGCCGGGGCAGTGTGGCAAAGGGGGCATTAAGGCTGTGGTGCCAGCAGCCCCTTCCCTGCCCGCCCAGGGGCAGCAGGGCCTGGGCACCCTTCTCCTCACTCCCTGAAATCCATCCAGGCAGGATTGAGCATGGAGGGTGCTGTGGGTGAGGGCTGGTGCTGGGGTGGTTCTGGCTGTGGTGCTGAAAATGCTGTGGATACCTCGTGTTTATGGGTAGAGACTTTGGAAGAGATTATTATTATTGTTATTATGATGGGCTTTTGTCTTCTTTCCCTGCCCTCGAGTGCTTGCCAGTGCAGTGGCTGAAGAGTTTCTTTCTTTAAAGATTCCCTAAGTTCATCAGCTGCATGGATGGGAGTTTAAAGCTCATCTAGTCCAGTCCTCCTGCCATGGGCAGGGACACCTTCCCCTGGGCCAGGCTGCTCCAAGCCCTGTCCAACCTGGCCTTGGACACCCAAATAATTCCTCAGCTTCTGGGGAGAAAGTGGATGGGACCAGGTGTCTTCCACGGGCTTTTGCCCTGGCCACGTCCCCCCACCCCAGGGAGCAGCAAACTCCATTTCCATCCAGGACTGAAACCCTCAGCACGTGATTATTTATGTTCTTGGCATACTGAAAGAGGGCAATTTTACACCAATAAATAGAAATATTGATCCGAATGGAAAGGGGGTGTCCCCAGCAGCTCCAAGCACAAGGGCCTCATTTGTGTAATTAATGATGCAGTGGAAGACAGGGGGGGTTTGTGTGTCTTGGTGGACAAAAGCCCAGTGGCACCGTGCTCGGGAGCTCACAAAGCCCTTCTGTCCCAGCAGTGGGAGATGCTGCAGAGCTGGCACAGCCTTCGGTGATCCCCACCCCAACACGATTTTTGGGGCTGACAGCCCCTTGGCACCAGGGCTGCTCCTCGTGGCCTGAGCAGCTGCAGCTCCTGATCCATCCCAGGGATCCCCAGGGCACAGCTGGGGCACCCCAAGCCCGTGCACTCCCGGGCCAGGAGCTCTGCCCCTGCTGGTGCTCACCAGGCTGAGCTCGGGGTCACCTCCATGGGATTCTGGGATCCAAACTGTGGCTGGAGCCCGCTGGGAACACCCCAGAGCAGGGCTGTGCCTAATGGGAACTGGGCAACAGGCTGGAAAGGGAGCCATGGGAGAGTGGAAACAGCACAGCAAGCAGAGAAAAAAACCCACAAAGCCCAGAGTCCTGCTCATGGGAGAGTGGAAACAGCACAGCAAGCAGAGAAAAAAAAAACCACAAAGCCCAGAGTCCTGCGCCCTCCGTGGGCTCCCACATCCCCCCTTCACCTCCCGAGCTTTGGGATGGGCTGGGCAGGGCCAGGGGGACCTGCACCCGCAGCTCCCCGGCAAAGGGACAGGGTGTGCAGCGTGGCAGAGGGGCTCAGTTCAGCTCTCCTGGCCTTTCTCCTTTGCTGTTTCACACTCAAACCAAGATCACTTGGAGAAACACGGGAAGCCAGAACGGAGTGGGCAGAGGGTAAAGGAGCCCAGCCCCATCCCTGCTCACCCCAAAGCCTCCCTGTCCAGCAGAGTTCCTGGGGCACTGGGCAGGATCCTTTGCCCTGGGCTTGAGCCACCTCCTGAGTGGCCAAAACTCCAGGCTGAGAGCCTGGGACAGAGCAAACCTGTGCTGCCCGGAGCAGAGGGCAGAGCACAGCTCCCACAGCATCACCACATTCCCTGTTTTCCACAGCAAATTCTGGATGCAGAGGAGCAGCATCCTAACCCAGCTGGCCCTTCAAGTTCAGTTCCCTCTCAGAACAGGAGTAAAGAGCTGTCCTGCTCTATTAGGGATGCAAATATCCTGATTCACAGCTTGAAATTCCAAGGTGGATTCCTGGCTTGCAGGTTTTTGATCCCAGTTTGCCCAGTGCTATTTACCCTGTACTCCAGCCCCAG